TGTGTGTGTGTGTGTGTGTGTGTGTGTGTGTGTGTGTGTATGTGTGTGTGTGTATATATATATATATATATATATATATATATCCTTTATTATGGAAAATTTAAAACATATACTCAAGTGGCATATGGAATTCCCATGGACCCATCACCAACTTTAGTAATTAGTATGTTTCCTCTGTACCCCTCTGTACCCCTTCTTCCCTGCACTAGATTATACTGAAGCAAATGACATCACGTCATTTCAATGCAGAGGGTAGTGTAAGATGTAGCTCTTCCTCCTGTCCAGTAGGACAAAAGGGAAGGAGAATTGAGTAGTGATTAGAGAGATTTCGGAGACTGAAAGACATTAAGTATGGACGTCATCTCTGTTGGTTATTACAGGTGTGACTGAAGGCAAGTTGCTTAATTTCTCTGAGTTTCAGTATCCTCCTCTGTAAAAGGAAGCATAACAATATCTTCATTACAGTCTTCCGTAAAAAGTAGGTGGATTTTTTTTTCCTGATGAACAAATGAAACGTGGGTATGTTTGAAGAGAACTGGGTGAGTTGGGCCCTTGATCAGGGCAGGAGTCGGGCAGGAAAGCTGGGCCCTTTGTAGGGTGGCCAGAGGCGAGGAGAGGTGGGGCAGGGAGTGGTGGACTGAGAGGGATGGAAAGGAACTCCGCCTGCAGCCCAAACCCATCCCAGGCTCTGAGAGCTAAACATTCCCACGGGGCCCTCTGGCCCTGCTCCCAGACATGGCTTGTGTTTGCTTTGGACAATACCTAGCATCCCTTTACATCTCCAGGTCCCACATTTGGAGGCTCAGCTTTCAAGGGTGGCTCGGAAACGGAAACAGGTGACGGAGACAGAGTGGGGCTCCCGCTTGCTGTGTGGGAGGCTCAGGGAAGGGACAGCCTAGGTTCAGACGGGGGCTGGCCACATCTTCTCACCTGCCTGGAGGAGCGCCCCCTGATTACTCCCCCCACCCTGAGTTTCCCCACATACCGAACCAACCAGCATCTGGAGGGCCATCTCACCAACGCCTGCCCCTGTTACCAGCACTGTGGTCGCACAGCCTAACCAAAAGAGAAGGATCTGGCTTAGTAATAGCAAGTTAAGGAGACAGAAGTCGGCTGGCATAATCCAGGTTGTTTCCGGGAAACCTCTGGAAAGTGGTACAGCTGCCTAAGAGGACTACTTTGGATCCCTGAGATTTCTCAGACTTTAGCTCTGAACTTTGCTTAGGTCCTACTTGTCATTATATCCCTTCCTTGTTCTGAAACCTTCAACTGCTCACGATTGTCTCCAGCATAAATTCCAAGTTGCTTAGCCTGGCATTCAGGGCCCTTTCCAATCTGAACGCCAACTACCTTTCCAGAAAGATTTCCTGATCTCCTCTACCAGGCAGGCTAGCGTCCTCACTGCCCTGGCATCGTGCTGACCAGCCACACCTCTGGTCAATCCGGCAACATGGCACAGACCTTCGGAGCCCAAGCTTCAGAGTCAGACTTGGGTTCCAAGCCCGCTACATCACCTACTAGCATGAGACCTTAGGCAAGTCCTTGCCATTCTCTAGGCCCTGGTTTCCTTCGGTAAAACGGGCATGACAACACCTCTTTCGCAGGGCTGCTGTGTGGATAACTCTGACGCAAGACACGTGAGTGCTCAGCAGAGCGCTGGCCAGTTCTCCGCTTAAACCCTTCAACGCTGCCATCAGGATCGGGTCCAAATGCTTTAATGTGGTTTGCAGGGCCCTCTATAATCTGCCCCCGTTGAGAGCTCAGACTGTCACAGTACCTGCTCACAATCTACCCTCCAGTCAGGAGAAACTCTCTTCCGTTTCCTGACCCTGCACACACTCTCACCGCCAGCTTCTCATACATGCCTTTACCCACTCCTGAACATTCCTCCTCTTCCTCTTTGTCTGGAAAACTCCTGTTCATCTTTTAAGTTGAGATTTCCATCATAATCTTCTCCCCCCAGCCCCCGTCCTTGAACCTGGATTAGCTCCTCCTCTGTGCTCCCTCAGCCTCCTGCGCTCTACTCTCACGTGCCTCACCCACCTCCCACCTGTTTACCAGACAGCCTCCCTCTACAGGCTGGAAGCCCATGAGAGAGGATGTGCCTTGAATTTTAGTTCAGTGGCATATACCACTGCTTAATATTAGCACAGTGGCCAACGTACGGTAGACACTTAGTGTTTTTTGAATCAAAGATCGCCATTGTCTCCTCTGTCCTTCAAGTTCCTCACTTACATTATACCTGTCTCTGTGCCTTTGCTCTCACCCTGTTCACTGGCCCCCACCCCATCCTTCCCCGGAATGCCTTTCCTTTTTCCTCCGACTTTCCAAACCCTGGGGCAGTTCATGTTTCCTCCCCTCCATGAAGCTATCTCTAGATTCAACACTGGTCAGCAGTACCCACTGTCTATTCCACTCATACATTCAAAAACCTTTCAGTACCTGCTGTGCATCAGGTACTGTGCTAAACACTGAGGGTACTCAGATGAATAATAAGAGTTAACATATATACTGAGCACCTGTGAGCCAGTTATGCTGCTAAGTCAAGAACTTTACATTTCCTCTAGTGCACAAAACAATCCTCACAGGGAGGTATTTGCATCCCAATTTTGCACATAGGAAAACTGAGGCTCAGAAAGGGGAAGGAAATTGAACTGCACAAGGTCATAAAGCCAGAAGGTGTGGAGACAGGACTGACCTTCAGATCTGCTGATGACCTCAGAGCCCATGCTCCTGCCCTTGTCCCTTGCTGGTGCATTCAGGGAGCGTGTTGTCAAGGAGAGGATGCAGATAACATAGGTAGAAAAGCCTTGAGGTGGGACAAACACGAGAGGCGGGTACAAAGGAGGGGGGCACACCTTCCCTGTGGGGTCAGAGAAGCTTCCCAGAGCGGGTGGAAGGGGAGGGACTTGAACAGGCAGATGAGAAGGTGGGACAGAAGAGAGAGGGCATTCCAGGCAGAGGGTTCACTTTGTGCCAAAGTGTGGAGATACAGAATGGGTTTTGTGCCATCAGGGAATAGCAAGTAATTCAACATGGCTAGAATGCGGGCTCTGAGGGGAAGCAGGGAGGGAGAAGGCTGGAGAAAGGAAAAGCGCTCCACAGAAGATGTGAAGGCTGTGAGCAGCTCTGTGTTTCCAAGCAATCCCTCTGGAGCCGTGTAGAGGACGGCCCAGTAAGTGTTCCTCACCCTGGCTACATGTTACCATCACTCAGCAGCTCTGGACCAGTTACATCAGACTTCGTGGAGATGAAGCCCAGGCACTGGGCTTTGTTACAAAGGCTCCAGGTGATTTTAATGTGGAACTAGCAGTGAGAACCACTGATGGAGGCAAATCTGAAGGCCAGGAGACAAGCCAAGACCTGCCAAGGCAGGGATGGGAGTGATTAGAAATTACGAAAAGCGGGGCACCCTTAACTATTCCAATCAGGTTAAGTGGTTGAACTAAGGCAGGGATGGTGAGAAAAGAAGAGGACGGATTTGAGTGATCATTTGCCGCAGAACCAACCAACATAACCATCTTCTTATTATTAACTCTAACATTTGTTAATCACTTCAACCTCTGTGGGATATACTATGTGACAGGTGATACCAACATTACTTCATTACTTCCTTTACTCGTTTGAAATTTGGGGATTATCCTTTGATTTCCAGGACCCAGGTCTCAGGAGCAACTCAGCAGATGAGCGGGATGTAGCTCTCATTGCTCTGACCCTGCCTGATGCCCCCCGCAACCCCCTACACCAACGGCCCCCACTTCTGCTCTAGAGAAATCACTCATCTTTAGTGCTGGTTTTCCAACACTCTAGGGCACCTCTGATTACTTCTGAGGGTAACGTTAAATGTTCAAAACAATTATTTTTAATTAACTTATTTTTTTTAAAAAAAGATCTTTGCTATACGCCCTTGGGAGGCTACGGAAAGGGAAGGAGACTAGTTGAGGGAATCAGGTTTCCGACATCAAGGAAGCTAGGCACAACCCTGAATCAGGTGTGGAGTCATTGTTCTACTCCTCTGTTTCGAACAACATCCACAACAACAACGAGACACAGAGGTCCTTTACTGATAAGTTATAAAACCCCTTTCCTATGCTATAATTTTTCCTGGGCAACTTTGCTTTTCTTTGAACTTGTTATTTCCAGCACATGGGTGTTACACAAGATGCCAGCTGTGGGTCTGTAGACACCGCTACGGGGAAAAAGAAAATGGGAAAGAGATGCTTACTGTTTCTCTGTGGTCTGAAATCACATGATCCGGTAAAACGTTGAATGGGGGGGGCACGTGGGTCAGAACAAGCCTGTTGCCCCCAGAGTCAGGAGGGGAGCCTTAACTTCTGTGAGGAGGTGGGGCAGGGACCTCGTAGCTGGAAGACCCCAGGAAGAGGGGCTTGCGGGGAGGAAACAGCGCCCGGCCCGAGGGAGCGCCTCTTCGCTCTTGGGCGCGCCGGCTCACCTTTGTACTGCAGGATGTCCTCAGTGTAGGCCAGCATGCTGGGAAAGGTGCTGCTGAGGAACAGGCCCAGACTGGCTGTTCCCACGAACAGGAAGACGACGTTGTAGGAGAAAACAAGAAGCACCAGGAACGTCACCACCACGCCGACCTGTCATGGCGGAGACGAAGACGATGAGAAATTGGGGAAAAGCTGGCTGGTCATGGAGAAAGGAAAACCAGCAGTCCGTCTGCAGACTTGAAAAGTTCCTCTCCAGCCGCAGGGGCAGCGCTGTGTGACCGGTGCGCTCCCCTGTGGAATATGTGGGAACTGCACCTTCCCCAGTTGGTGTCGGCCAAGGAAACCCTGAGAATAGGAGAAAGGGGGGAGGGGAGCCCAGCCAGACATCTCGCAAACGGCCTACCGCGCATGCCTTAGAAACGCTTAGCTCCTACTCCGCTCCGACCTTACAAACAAAGCTTTGAAGAGTCGCACGGAAAATCTCTAGACTTGGGAAGTTTTAAAAACACCTAACTCTTTTATGTTAGCCTGCATGACAGAAGACTGAGGATGCCAAGGGCGAATTAGCAACTCTGCCAACCAACTCTGCTCCCACTCGGCGTGGCCCCCTCCTCAGTCGGTGGCGCAGACTGGCTGTCAGCCTGCTCCTCACCTCCCTACCAGACCCTCATCCTCACCTCTGCAGCGGGACACACACGCTCCCTCTCCCCTGCCCATCTTCTTCCCTAGCCAACTGGAAGCTCCTTAAAGGCAGAGACCTCATCTTACAGAACTCGGCACCCCAGCAGTTCCCCGCAGGGCCCCCCCCCGCCCCCGCCACAACGTGTGTACTCATTAACCAGTAAGTGGTTGTTGGGATCCAGGAGAACATCAAGAGCAGAGTGACCCTTAATTTTTTTTTTTTTTTTTGCGGTATACGGGCCTCTCACTGTTGTGGTCTCTCCCGTTGCGGAGCACAGGCTCCGGATACGCAGGCTCAGCGG